TGAGGAAATCTAAAAAACACGCGAGATATCATGCAATAATTTCTGACGATGCACTTCTAAAAACGATAATAAAGACTCGGACATGTTGTAAGACATGCTCCAAGACATGTTCCGGACATGTTGTAAGACAAGTCCATCGTCTTTTTTAGGCCGGCGGATTTCAGAGTTGATTCGTGCTGGCGCTGCTTATCAAAAGAAGTTTACGGTTCCGGTTAATTAAGCGATTACTCTTTTGCGTGGCATCGGTCATGTTTGTCTGTACTAAAACGTCATACCTGGCAAAAGGCCCCCGACGCTGCCAGTGCTGGTTGTGACCAAAGTAAAGTGCTTTGTCAGCATAGGGCAGATGATGCCGGTAATTGTCGCCTCGGACGGCATGCTGGCAAGTATCAGGGGGATCACGACATCGGATAAGGTGAACACTGAAATGCCGCTCTTTGCACACATGCCTCAATCATCCCTCAATCAAACAGCCTGACACAACTCAGCACGTGATCACTTACTGAAAAACTCCGTAAGGACGCATCCAACAAGTTAAAACAGCCCACGCAAGTTCTCTGTTTCCATGTGATGACTTCGACTTGGGGCGGCGCCATGGTCTGTGTCACCATGGTCTGTGTCACCATGGTCTGTGTCACCATGGTCTGTGTCACCATGGTCTGTGTCACATGCATGGCTGGTTTCAGGTCAAGAATGATATCATCAAGCTCAGATGGCCAGCCGGAGCACTCGAAGAAGAATTTCAGCCCAACGAGGCATTGGAACATTGCCAAGATCATCCTGCTCATCAGCATGGGCATGTGTCTCATGTTGGTTGTCGAGAACATGCGACTCCGGTAAGTTGCCGCGCTTCGCTGGCACTATAGGCCATCGATATCGTCGTCCACGATGAGTGTGATAAGTATCATTCACGCGTGATAAGTATCATCCACGATTAGTTTGACGCTTTTGTCAGCTTGCCTGCTTCTTGCGGTATTCCGCTTTTTTGGACTTTCCCGAACCTTCTCCACCCATTGTTGCAATACTATCCGCACAGATTAGGCTGCCAGTGCCTGAGGCGCATTCGTTAAGGTGGGACCGAGCCAAGTGATGACAAACTTAGCTGATATCACCATGTAAAGAATACCCCGAAAAGCAAATAAAACACTCGTCCTTGGAAAACCGTACGCATAGCAATGCATTGAAATATCCCACCCGCATGAGTCAAGCGAGTAAAAGTTAATTGTTGACATTGGCATACATATTTATGAGCGACATGATTAACAAACTGATTCGATTTCGGACCATCAGTGCTTGCCAGCTTTAAACGGCGCCGTGAATTGCTTTGGCATAAGCTAACTTTTTGCTGACTGCGAGGAAATTTGTAACATTGCCAATATTTTGTATGGCCGGTCCCAATATGCTGGAACACATGTCTTTGTACATCTGCCCGCCCGATGTGTTTGGGCCTAGGTAACATCATGTTGCATTTGAGGCCGGCTACAGAAAACGTGACGTTGACCGTCTAGCGATTCAATGCTTGCGCGCTTATCGACCGGACAGTGCTGGAGCCGCTTGATTATTTTGAGAAGGTACGGGCATCTATGAGGTTTAGTTAGTTTTGTCTCCGTTTTAACCGGTCTCCAAAGATTATTAGAAATCACCGAAACGGCCACTTCTACCAGATAAAATGAATCAAAACCAAAATGAGCACTTTACACCGATCGGATTATTGTCATTAGTATGAACGTCTTCACCACCGGTTTAACAAAGTCGCTAACAACAATGCTTACTTAAGTCACCAGATACACGAAGGAAATGTTTGGAAAGAATAGTTTCCACCAGACAGCCTGAGGTTCCACCGAATAGGTGAAAAAGCACCAATGCATAGCAGGAAATCAAGAATTTGTACCAGAATCTAGGAATTCGGCCGAGCAGCAAAAAACGACCATATTTTAAACCAAAGTGCCATCATCTTGGAAGTGTTTTGGGAAGCAGACGCCATTTTCCACCTTGGAGTTGCTTTGTGAGAGCGAGTCGCTGACTAGCATTGAGTTTCGTACATACATACACATCCAGGGGCATATCTAGCTGATCGGGGGGGGGGGGGGGGGGAGGACAGGGGGAATATCCTCCTGCTAGGCCCTGAGCGACTTCGGGACCATCGGTAGAAACTATTAAGGTCCCGATATAGGGCCCGAAGGACTGGCTGGGGGACGACCCCGGGGCAAAGGCCTGGCATTCAAGGGTCAGCCAAAGAGACTCGTCGCGCCTGTGGGGGTCCCCGAACGACAAGGGCGTCTATGTAGATCCGAGACGACCAACGCTGAACAGTTGGCTCTGAGTCGGCTTGGGCTCTGGGGTCCCATTTACGAAACAGGGACAATGCCAGTGTCCGCAGTTGCTCCTGAAGGCCTGCTGCGTGCGCCGAGGCCACTGAAACAAGGTGGCTCCATCCAGGCACAGAGTGTTTAACAGTGGAGGCTGTGTCGGCAAGGGCCTCTAGTCGACCAGAGGCGCATTTTGCTGAAAGAGACCAGAGCGGGAACCTGAACGTCAGATAGCCACTTGCATTGGTCGAGCCCCTCGCTGCCGGATATGAAATGGAAATACAAGAAACTTCGATGAAATGGTCCACAATAACATAATCGAAGGGTCCGGCCAGCCACGGACTATAGGACGAAACAAGGGCCCTTCAAGGCCCCAAAATTTATTTAATTTCGGTGACTGTTGCCTTGCCCATGTCCTTGTCCTTGCCCTTGACCTCGTCGTTGCCCTTGTCGATGCCCTTCCACCCGAAATCGGTGGTTTTAGCCCCGACGTGTGGTCGGTTTACTGTACCAGATTTTAACTGGCACCGATGGCGTGACTCAACCTTCTGGTGATAAACTGGCAGTCTCGGCTTGCTACTTCAGTTGGTGAGCAGGGTGTGTATTTTGTTGATGGAACTGGCCATTCTGGTTGTCCAATAAATTTTGTCCCGCTAGCTTGATGTCCCTGCCTGCTCTGGCTGCGGAGATATAAATATCCGTCCCCCAAATAAGCCCGAGAACGGGCGGAGGCATGATTTGTGCACGATTGCGGAACACAAGGGATAGTCTGCGCAGATCTGTCCACGGTCTTGGTGGAACAATTGTCCATTTTGTGCCTTCACTAATCTTGCTCGTTCTCGTGTCCTTGCCTGGTATTTGACGTTTGGCTCTGTTTCCGTCCATCTCCTTCAGCTTTGTTCGCGGTTGAAAAGTGCTGCAATTCCCATGCTAGCCGAATGGGGACACGGTATGGTAGTATTGCACGGAAGTAGCTTGACGATATTATCATGCCATATCCATGATTATTTTTCTTGTCGCCGAAATTGTCTGATAACGACCAGCGGCTGCAGAGACTGCAAGCTGTAGAAGCTACAAATGTACAAATAAAGCTACAAAATGTTAAAACGACGCCAAAAGTGTGCAAAATAAAGCTATAAAAGTACAAAACGGAGCACCAAAATGAAGCAAAATATTCTACAATAGCTACAAAGGTTACAAAACACAAAATGTCTGGGTGGTTCATGTTAAAACTCGTTCTGTGCGCGATCTCGGTCGTGACAATGGTTTCCTCTTTATCAAAGCAAATGATAACCGTAAAAGAATACATGAAACAATCCCGAACAGCTAACCAAAAGCTCACAAAGTATCCCATATGCATAGATATTGGGTTACTATCTGTAAAACCAGCGTTGTCATGGCAATGACTGCGCCCATTGCGCCCTTCCCCACTGTGCTAAAACCATGACGCAACAAATTTTTACGTAAGTTGCTCAGTGCATTAGCGAGGAACATTATTCACATAGATAAGACAGTAGTATTGGCCTCATTCCTCGCATAAAAACCAGGAGAATGGAGATATAGTTGGGTTGCTATTTCAGCAACATGCCTTTATTAAAACAAGAGCGGAAGTCATAGACTTCAGCTATTTTAGTCATAGACTTCCGCTATTCCGCCGGGAGTCATAGACTTCCGCTATTATAGTCATACACTTCCGCTAATCCGCCGGAAGTTATAGACTTCCTCTATCGTTACGATAAAGGCATGTTTCCGAAATATCAACCCAACTATATCTCCATTCTCTTGGGTTTTTGTCCGAGGAATGAGGCTAATACTACTGTGTTATCTATGTAAAGAATTTTAAATGCATTTTCCGGGACACTGGCGTATTTAATACGACTAAGGCATAAAGAGGAACGAACACGTTTGCAGAATTATGTTGGATGCATTCGCAACATTTTGTGCCACTGCTCTTCTACACATGCCATTTTTTGCTTCCAGTTGTGCAGTTTACTATTCAGTTTGGATATCTTAGCTTTCCAGCTTGAACTCCAACCTCCTGCGAACGTTTGGAGTAATTGCGACAAAATCGGTGAGAAAACGTTTCATGGCATATTTTCGAGAGAGGTTACGCAATTTTTAAGTGCACAGCCTCCCTCGCCGCAACTCATTTGCAAAACTATGTCCCTGTTTGGTTCCCATATTACCAACGCAGATAATGTCATATGTCCACATCCGTTTTTGCAGTTCGGTGGTGGACATGTCAATACAAGAGGCAGACAAGATAGATCTGCGGTCTGAAGTCTATCAAAACGGCCAGAAGGAAAAAGCTTTCAAGCCCGTCACACCTCAAACCAACACCCAGACCGGGAGCAAGGAGGAAGTGCCTGGTCTTCACGCTTCCGAAGATCAACCGCTCGTCCAGGGAAAGGAGAATGCCTCCAAGCCCACATCGCCAAATGGACGTTCCTACACCCAGGAAGAGGACGAAACCCATAGAAAACCGGCGTTGGTATCCCATGATCAGCAGGAGCGTGACAGAGCTGAGAAGAACTACGCTCGGCTGCATTCTCTGCTAACCACAATAGACCGGGACCATCGGTGCCGGCGGCTGGCTCTGGTCGGCGGCAGGTGCTTGTTCTGCAAGTCCATGCACAGCTACCAGTTGGGAATGCGAGACGGGCGCCAAGCCAGTCTGCTACGACCTGCTGCGGCCCAACTGTTCCGTGCTGTCGTTCGGCATCAGCTTCGACTTCAGCTTCGACGTCGGCATGGAGGACCTGGACTGCACCGTCCACGCCTTTGACCCCACCATGGGCTTCACCGGCTTCCGGACGTCGGAGAGCATCCACTTCCACGGCGTCGGGATCGGGGCGCAGGACGACTTCGGCGCCCGCTTCCCAGTCGCCAGCCTGGCTACCATCATTCAGCTGATCCCGCTGCAGCAGGACATCATCGACTACGTGAAGCTGGACATAGAGTGCAACGAGTGGGACGTGCTGCAGCAGCAGCTGACCTCCTCCGGGGACCTGCGGCGCGTGCGGCAGCTCACAATCGAGTTTCACCTGTGGCAGTGGAAGCCGCAGCTGGACACTGAGGAGGGTTTGGCCCCCGAAGCTAGCAATGTGACGGTGACGGCGGAGAACGCCGCCCGATTCGTGACCGTACTGACCTCGCTGTGGGAAGCAGGCTTCAAGCTGGTGTACTCCGCACCGTACGGTCGGTGTTTTAGCTACAGCACAGGGTGCTTACCGTTTTTATTCGAGACGCTCTGGATAAATGCAAACATCAGCTAGTTTTCCAGGATCATTTTCAAGTGGCATGCGCATCACATTTGTGGTGAATTAATTACTGAGCCGTGTATATTTTTCCAACTTTTGATTCTCGAGTGGATTACTGAAGGTGGTCATGTGGTTCATGATCATGAATCATGTGGTTCGAAGAAAGATTTGGGTATATATTCCGGACTGTATGGAGCTTCACCTGACATGATATTGGCGCTTACTCTTAGCTTACATTATGTCATGTTCCTGATGTTGAACGTGGCCTTTCTTTTGAAGCCTTTCAAGTCTAGAGGATCATCGTTAATGGTGCTATATATGTGCTTTCATTGTTTTTTTCAGGTGAAAAATTCATTCCTTGTATTTCAGGCTTTGACCCAAAATACAAGGAATGACGAGTTTATCTAACTCTGCTTTTTCTTTCGATCAGACCATTACATTCCAGAGATAAACACGAAGTCAACGCTAAACACCCGGGATCGCAGAGGGTGGAAATCGGGCAGCATCGGAAGTCACCGAAAATAAGGTCAGTGTGGCAGACCTGGGGTCGGTGAGGGGAGGGGCGACAGTGTCCTGAAATCGCTTTCCACTTGGGTGAAGCGCTCATGTTATTTCCTACAGGGAGATGAAAAAAATATATATAATTGCTGACGTTTACGCCACACGAATGGGCTGGAACATGCAACTAATTTGTCTGCATTCATTCCTCTTTTCAGGTCCCGGTTGTTGTCCTGCTGGTTTAGTATCCTGTCCAAGTGCAAAAATAGTCTTATTCAAGACTTCCTCACCATTCACTGTCCGTTAAGAACTATATTTGCATATTTTCCAATTTATTCGCGAATCACATTATCACACGAAGACACTGCAATGTTTGCATAATGTGGTGATTACTCAGGATAGTTAGCCGGGTTTGTTTGATTTCAGTCGGCAGAAAAACATCTGAGGCGCCGAGTGATCTTTAGGAACTTGCCTCAGCCCAGCTGCAAAAGCGTTCACAATATATCGACAAAACCGCGTTGCCACGATCATAACACAGCAGACGCTGAAGGCGACAATTTTTACAGCAAACACAGGGGTTTTACAGCAAACGTGGATTTGGAGGGAACTGGACCTGCCAGCAAGTTTTTCTTTTCAAAATACGTAAAACAAACAAGATGCCCCCTCCAATGGGTGCTTTCATCCCCCCTCCCCCCCATAGATCCTGAACTCATGACATGTGTCGACTTTTGCGTATCATCTTTGCCAATACACTTCCGCAACGGATGCACCGCAATGTAACACTCGCCTCTCATTTGGCCCGTGTTGAGACCAAAGCTGCCGAATGACCGCGTTTCGGTAAACTTAGCAAAAAATATGACACCACAGGAGTCGGAAACGTGCCAAAACCTCTCGCACACTTACCCTTCTAATTATTTTTTGCGTGCTTCATCCCATCAATGATTAAGCAGCGATGCAGGGGCATTAAGCGAGCGTTCAGTGTCAGCAGGTTATTGTCGCCATTATTCGCCATTATTGACGCCAGCGATCTATCAATATCTGGGTTGGTTTAGCGCGTTGGTGGGACTGTGCTACCGGTTTCGAGCATTTCCGTCATTGCCTGGCGCACAGCAATGCACTTTGGGCAGAACTAAAAACCATATCATAACTCACCCTGCTTCGCCGTTTTTAATAACACGGACTGATGGGGATGTAGCCCTTGCCGGTTTCAAAGCAAGAAATATAGAGCCTCGCGAAAAATACGGCGAATTGGTATATACGAGATTGCGCATTGGTGGCAAGTCTTCCGTGGCTAGGTTAAAATTAGCCCAACAGGCCAGGTCAAAGGTCAGATTGTTGTGGTTACAACTATTTTCGGCTTTACATGCTCATATGTACAGGACCATGCTTTCAGGAGACACAAAACTTCAATAAGCGTATTCGTTATCTAATACGTGTACAATCGCATGCAATTATATATGTTTTGAGCGCACGTATATCAGGCAGGGCTCCGTCGATGCGACAGTGTCAGCCGCCGCCCAAGTCCGTGGAACCGTCGGTTGCCTACCTCTGCTCGCACCGGCAGTGGTTCACTGTGCAGTGTCCTAAAAAAAACATCGCAGCTCAGAAACCAGAGTGGTAAGGGACCCGTGTTTGTGAAACCGCGCAAGAAATATGTTAAGGGCTCACGAAAACTTATACGCGATTAGACAATTTAACGAAAACCTACACCCAGAACAAACCTTAGGCAGAGGAATGGAGGCTCATAAGCCCTCCTATGAGAGCGGATGCTTACATTTTAGACAATAAAACGATCACAAAAAACGCTACGCTAAAACGAGTGCCTCTGACAAGCATAGACGTGGATTCTCCGGATAGCCATGTTGTGGACACATATTTCACACATTGCCCGCCGAAAATGATATTTTCGGTCATGTTTTACCCCTCAGAATCCAACTGACTCCTCCAATTCTGATTCCCCCATCCCAGATACGTGGCTGCTCACATGCCACATACAAGACTACACCAGGCGCCTGAGGCCACACAAACCGATATGAAAAGCGTTACCCATGGCCACAGTGGTTATCCAACATCTATTGCAAGGTTATCCTTAGTTTGGCATCAACGTACGCACACGGTAAAGACAGCTATGGCATTCACAAACCTTTCCGGATTCTGTCACAGGCTATCAAGTCGCGACGAGAAGCACCAACGCAGCAACGTGAATAACCATTGGGCCCATATCTAGATGCCACCTCCCTGTGCTGCCGGATAGGTATTAGACCATGGGTCTAAGTGAATAAAGTAAAAACTGGTATGGACTTGTGCTCACCCAACCACCCCCATGACCAATCACAGTAGTTGTGCTATGGGCTGATGAAGTTTGTTAAGCAACGATTACATCGGCATCAGCAGATTCGGATTCCAAAATGGAGATGTCGAAATCGTGCAACGCTTGACATGAGGGCCAACAAATCATTGATCCTTGAACGGCAAGCAAATAATAACTTGGGTTCGAAATGTCGCGAAAGCATGCCGCAGGCTCAACGTAAATTCCTAGACGATATGGATATGATATATATATATATATGATATATATATATATATATATATATATATATATATATATATATATATATATATATATATATACTCGGCATTCACCGCAGCTCAGCGATTGCGTCTTCGTCACGTGGATCAGTCCACATTTCAGCCCTTCTTCTAACATGGATGTCTCTCCCCACAAACAGGTCATCGTATTCTGATATGTATTTACACATTCGCAAGTGGTGGCCAATAAACATCACTCAGACGCGAAACCGATGTGAGCAGCATCACCATCATTATTCGACGCGCATCACAACGATAGAAGCCGACGCAACATTCTGGATTGAAGGTAAAACGTCAGCACATTTCTGCCGTCCAAAGGTAAAACCCCACATGTTAATTTCTGGCCATGTTTGGTTTTTATGTCACCTGATCCTGGTACTCCTGTTGGATGCGGCTATTTACACAATCAGTTGATATTTTTGCGAGCTTTTAGCACTTTCTTTCAGCTAAGAGTTTGTGAGAATTTCAACTATTGGTTTGAGCATCCGCATGAGAAGACGAATAAAATGACATTAAAAACACAAATGGCCAGAAATAAACATATAACGATTTACCTTAGAACGAAATATTTGTAATGCAGAAGTGTAATCAAAATGTCATGCATCATCAACGGGCCGCCGCCAACGCATAACAAAATAAGGCGTTAACTTTGCTACAAAGACATAACCTACGTACAGAAAATGCCTCTCGAACGCAATTCGTAAGTCTTAAAAGTCGCTGATGTCACCATTGCCATCACGCGCCGGGGGCAGAGCCCTTCAGCGCATGCGCCGTTGCAAACCGGAGCCTCGACCACCAGCTGACCGCCGCGCGTGAAGCGGGAGATCACGGCGTCAGGGTCGGCACCAGGGGGAAGTGCAGCCCTGCGCATGAGCGGACCATCGTGCTCCCATCCTCCGCTCGCGTTTCGCGGACAGCCTCCACCGTCAGCACGCTGTCCCTGACGGTGACGCGGACCTCCTGCGGCAGGAAGTCCCGTACGTCCAGGGTCAGCCGGAACGTGTCCTCCAGGCGCCGCCCTGGCACGTCCGCAGTGCTCTGACGTCGCGCCGCAATATCGTCGGCCTTCTGGCGCCGTTCCGCGACGTCTCCAGCTTCCTCTCCGTCATCCTCTCCAGGACCACGACCTCGCTGTCTTCTGACTCGGAAGTCGTGGAGGCGGTGCCTTCCGGCTCAGGCGCCGGGTGGTCGGCAGCGGCTTCGGTCTTCGGCTTCACAATCATCAGTGGCATCAAGCCACGTTTCCGGCATCCGGTTGGTGATCTTCAGTCGGAGCAGCTTGCGTTGTACTTGCATCCTGTGCAGGATGATATGCGGCCACCTGCTCGGCGGCATCTTTTACCTCTGGCGATGCAGCACGGTCTATAGCGCCCCGCTCGCACTCGTGAATGCCTTCTTTTTCAGAGCACTCGCTCGAAGCAGCGGCATCAGCATCCACTGCCGCTTCCGCGTCTCTCTCTTCGGACCGAGCGGCTGGAACTTCAATCTGCTTATCTTCCACGACACATGAGTCCAGATCGTCGTACGTCACCTTCAACCGTCTTCGCCTCCAGTGCCAGCGGATCGACCGCCGGCGCCTCCAGCACCAACTGACCTGACCGGCTGAGTCTCCAGGTCAGGTCGTCGGCCCGCACGCTTTCTGGCAGCGTCACCTTCCGCACCATCTTGCTGGATACGAAGCTGCCAGCTGAGCGCTCCTTGTGACGAGCACGCACCGTCGCCACCCTGCCCGACCGCCGAACGTTTACCTCCTCCGGCCGGTACCCCAGCGGCGTCGACCACCAGCCGGAAACCCCTCGCTTCCGGCCGCTGCTTCTCGTGGCGGCAGAGTCGCTTCGTTGCCGTCGGCTCCAGCACCTGGCGGAGATGCCGCTTCAGCGCCCGATGCGGTCCGTGGACGTGCGGGTTCCAGGTGCAGCCCTCGGACTCCGCCAGCTCAGACCACGGGTCCCAGTGCCGCATTCGGCGAGGCTCGAAAAACAGCAATGTCGCCATGTTCGTTGTGAGTGTTCACTAACCGCCTGCGCGCGAGCGGCACCCAGCCGATATTGGGGCGAGTCTGATGAGGCGGAGTGCTGCCGCGCTGTTTTATGTTGGGAGACACTGATCGAGAACGGACGCGAACGCTCCCGTCGCCGGGCCGCTTGCGCGATTCCCCGGCGCGCTCGAGAACCGTCGGGAATCCAGATGACCAATGAGAATCAGGTATGTTTATGACGTCATAAAGTTGCCCAATAACACGGGAGCTCGCTATGTGACGTCATACATACTGGAGCATACTGGTGAGACAGATCAAGCCAGTGCGCTATAACAGCTGTACGATTTTCGAGAGGTTCAGAGATTGCAGTATGTACTGCAACTATGTGAATAACCGATGGACGATAGCGAACAGCGAATAACCGATCGACGATAACGAAACAGCAGGAATATAACATTCCCGCTTTGTGTCCCCCAACGTCGAACTTTTACATAACTTAGCTGGACAAGTTCTGCTGATGAAGTCGCGATGTTCATTAGCATAGGAATCACACACCACAATCGGGAGTGACTAGTACAGCCAGCGATAGCAGGCCTGCGTATGCTCCAGGAAAACCATGTTCATTACCAAGAGAATTACACAGCCTTACAGTTACAATTTGCTGGTGTTCTTAGGATTAGAATTTGCTGTACCAATAGAATAACACATTTGCTGGTTTTCTTCGCTGGCCTCCATGCGCGTTGCATTGCTTCAATCTTAAATCTCTTGACAAATCTTGCTTTAATCTTAAGCTTTCTCCCCATTTCGTGGTCTTTACCATGACGACGCGGGAGTGGTGGCGCAATCGCTGTGCACGAACTTCTGATGTTGAATGAACAAGTCTCAGGCGCCGATCGTGGTTACCAGATACTTCTGCTGGAGGACAGCACCTGTCGTTTAGCAAATGCTCCAGATGTCGCTGCGAGCACTACCTGGACCCCCATCGAAATGAACAACCGGCTTAGTTCGCCGTCCTGCCGGAGATGCGACAAGACAGCGAAGTTCTCGCACAGAGCCTCTCGAGGCGGCCGCTGCGTGGCGCTGCCGTCGCTTGCGGCAAAACCCCCGGCGGAGGGCGTGAGGACGAGACTGGCGGCATGATTTACGCTTGATTTCTGTTCAGTGAGGATGCGATATCAGGACCACTCAGCCTCATGGGTATAGGTATGGTATGGGTAGGGTATAGGTATATGGGTATTGGTATAGTCACAACTGGACCAGGCTATTGAGCAACAATGCATCAGTATGAGTCAGGACAGGAGTGAATCCTCGCTGTCTGGGCTGAAATAATCATTTCCAGTCAGCTGAAACAGCTACAACACTTTCTAGACAGTCTCATCTCGCCCACGTCCCGGCTGTGACTAACGGCGCGACAACCAGCTGTTTTCACAGCCAGCATGCCCATGTCCAATATGACCCATCCTGTGCCCGCCTGGCAGGTGGAGGGCAGACGGGGTTCAATGGCACAGCTGACGAAGACGGCGGAGCGGTCCGGTGGAGGGTCTGGAGGTCGTCGCTCCCAGCTCGACCCCTTCTGAAGTCATAGGGCGGAGGTCAGCCATGCCCTGGTGCAGCTGTGCGGCACCGCCCCAGGCTACACATGGTCAAGGCAGGCTGGGGGCCGAAGTCGTGGTGTCCATAGACATAAGCGATGGCTTCCCGCTGAAATTTATTCACCTTATCACTGTACTTGGCACTGAACCCTTTGACTGTTGGCACGAACATTATTCCTCGTCCTGATTTGTTTTTTTTCCATAACGGGAACCGACTCTGTGGGTTAGGGGTGAGGAAGGGGCCCCCTGCCGTTTCCAAAGCAAAGAAAATAGAGCCTCGCGGAAGGGAAAAGCGGATTGGTCTCAACGAGCTCATACGAATATTAACTGGATTATTTTCGTGTTGATGAGTTACTAATTCATCGCATCAGATGCCAGGTCGGTCAGTTTTCTTGACATTACGCCTTTGCAGCTTTACATGCCAATATATTCGAAATTTTGCCATGTGGCAGCATAAAACCTACACATACGTAATCCTTGTTTGATCCTGGTCCGAATGAGTTGGAGTTTGTTTTTTTAGTACGTATGTTTTTCCTGAGGATATGAGTTTGGGATGACGCGCAATTGCCCTAAATTTCTGGTGGTTTATGGAGGCGGGAGGGGGGCATTCATCCCGCATGTTTCGACACAAAAACGAGTCTAGTTTTTTCGAACACGAACGGCTTTTCAGATCAATGCACGGCGACCTACTGCCGACGCGGGCGGCGGACAACAGCCAGCGAATCTAAACAGTGACGCGCGGGCAGGTCGATGCTGTACACGGGCTTATATATATATATATATATATATATATATATATATATATATATAGTTATAGTTAAAGATAGATAGAAAGATATATATCTTTGTACCCTATACCTAACTGCGTCTAATCTATTTAATTATACTCTCCCGTACCCTGAACATTTGGTTTGATAACCATGTGATGTATTGCGTTACTAGTGTGCGCGCCTGGGCGCACCTCTGCGACCGACCGCCGCGGCCAGCAGTCACCGGGACGCCTGTCGACTGATACCGGCGAGAGCGCGCGTATATCACACTGGTGGCAGCGAGTGGGGGCGTGCTATATGGAGCCGAGGGAGAAATTGACGTGGGGTGATAGGGAACAGCTGGAAGACTTCTACGACGGTTGGATGCCTGTTGGCTGGCGATGGGGGTCGAGAAGAAAGCGGTGGGGAAGGCGCTTCTTGGCCCCGGTTCGCGGATTGCGGTGATGGATGCGCTGTCAGAAGAGGGCACAAGGGATGTTCGGAGCCTGAAGTCGGCGCTGCGTCGGGAGTTCGGTCCGTTCCAGAGCGGGTACCATGACCGGCTCAATCAGCGACGCAAAGCAGCCCTCCGAGACATACGGTACGTTTCTTTCCGTGTGTCATTGGGGCTTTCCGACGCACTCAGCTGCTGAGGCTGTATAGCGTCGCCTGCCTGTCACCCTGGCAGGAAGGGCGGGCACCGCAGGGAATCGAACCCCATACCTCTGGTTTCCCAGACGCGCAGTGGTTAACGCAGACGCGTTAGCCACTACACTACCGGCACCCGTATGTTTCTTTCGGATTTACTCTTTGTTTCGTGGTGCGTTTCCTGGCTCGGAGCCTGACACGTTTTTGGAGCCGCTCTATTGAGGAGTCGGTTCTTGGATGGCATCTCGTCAGATGTTGCGGCACGGTTACATCTGTTGTATTCCAGCACTGACGTTGATAAGATGCCGATACATGCAAAACAAATTGAGGAGGCCATCCATCGCTCACCGGCTAGTCAGTCAAATTTTGGAGCCGTCTGCGGTAGAGAAGGGAGCGGTTGATCATCTCCGGGATGAGGTAGCCGAGGTCTCTCGTGCCGTGTTTGAGATCCGCGCGGCGGTCGGGGCCGGCCGGCTGGTGCTATCGCCGGAGGCGGCGTGACGTCATTCGGGGCCGGGCGGGTCAGCCAGCGGTCGGCTCATCGGGGTGGAGGACCGCCACGTGACCCGCCCAAGGTCAGCTGGGCGGGCGGTCCACAGGAGCGTGCACGGGGGGAGGTGGACACCGATAGACTAAGCTGGAGAGGGGCTAGTGTGGTGTATTGCGTTACCAGTGCGCGCGCCTGGACGCGCCCTCTGCGGCCGACCGCCGAAGGCGGCGGACGACCAGCCGTCGCGGTCACAGGGACGCCTGTCGACTGGTACCGGTGAGAGCGCGCGTGATAACCAAATAACTTATTACGAGCACCTTCATTCAAGTTGCTATTCAAAACTGGTAAGGTTTTGAAATTCATTTAGCGGTCAGATGTGGATGTAAAATGTGTACAATTTTTAAAACTGTTCTCTCTATTCATCTAAAGACAACAATGTGTTGGAACAAAGAAGTGCCCATCACCGCTTGATAAGTCAATTCTCTCAAGTCAGAGTCAATGTTGTTTGGTTGCTGCGCTGCGGTCTGTCAAACTCGACAGCGGCAGCCGAAGCAATAACGCAGCGCAGCGCAACAGACAACGCAGCAACCAAAGCAATCCAATAAGCGAAGCCGTAAATTTTTTCGCGTGCCACGCGTAACGAAATGGGAGAAACCGCCTCCACTCAACTGAGTCTAACTTCTACGATATACATCAGAACTACAAGCTAAAAAAGCACGTCGCACGCAAGTATAAAGCACATCGATACGCTGGAACACAATTCCGACAACCAAATTTTAAATAGGAAAGATCGGCCAAAATTGAACTCTGAACTCCGGTGAACAGAGAAATTAGAAACAAAGCCTATCGATATCGTCGAGGCAGTACAACACAGGCTACCAGCAAACCCATACGCACAGTGCAAACTGGCAGTTAACACGCGCCAGATGATTTTCTCACGGCAGAATTAAACTCAGGGACGAAGGCGAGGTTATTCCGCCACGCTACCCAGTAAGAATTCTGTCGGGCGCAGCGAACGGGTTGCGACTTGACCACCACTCATGCGGGTGGCAAGACAAAAAAAAAAAACAACACACAAATCAGAGAACGCCATCATCCCCCCAAGATCCACAGAAGCATCCGCTTTTTCCTAAATTACCTGCGTTAACACCCGTGGAGAGACGACGAGGACGACGACAACCTTCCGATGGTAGACATGTACTCGCAGTCACAAACTGTAGTGTAATAAACCCGAGCATCGTCCATGTCAGCTATGCCGAAGCGGTTCGGGTCAACCGAGAACGGCGCCACCACGCCACCTCACCCACACCCTCGAAGCCCAGTATGACCTGAATGGCACATCTTTGGAAGCTGACAGATACCGATGATAGAACTACTCGACAGCGGTTAAGTATTGCCACGTTCTCGACCACGTCAAGAGACCATGCCGTCCAGTCGTCAGGTCAGCGAGCGCGTACCGCGGCATCGAGAACAGCAACAGTGACGAGGACACAGACGACCGCCACCCGTGCAACGCGGACACGCTGCCGTCCGGTGGCGCCGCCGGAAGGACAGGTGTCGATCCGTAGGCACTGCCCCTTGAGGGCCACCACCAGAACGCGACCGAATGACGGAGACACGGCCCACCGCCAGGACGCCACCGGCCAATCCTCAGCGGGCTGTAGAGCCCGGGGCGCGTGCAGACCCATAGCCAGTCCCAGAGTCACCGCCAGAGTCCCCAGCTCCTCTGCAGCTTAATATGGCACCTGGGCCCGTGGGCGATGAGAGGCATGTTTCACGTCGGTCGGTGGGGCCGGTTTCCATCAAGAGATGCAAACCGGCCCCTGAGACGGCGCGCCGAGGCCCTACTGGGGGAAGCGCGCTTAAAACAACTTTGCCCGCCACCGTGGACGAGGACAGCCGGGGCCGCCCGCCGAGGCGGCAACCTTCGACCTCGCGCGGGACCTGAGCTCAGATAAGCCGGCAAAACGGGGGCAGCAGCTCAGCAGAGCCGCCCAAGTCGAAGCCTTCCTGAAAACCCGCCCCAGATGGGATCAGGAAAGAAAGAACCGTGCAGATGTTTACCTCGCGCATGGTAGCAACATAGATGTCCGACGGCAGTAGGCCAGCCGTAGCGGAGGTCTCCGTCACGGCGTGGTAGTGGCTATCCACCCTCCCTTCAGACCGCTCCCGTCCGCCAAGCCGGCGGGGGGAAGGCTCCCGGCGCGAGGGGGCCACAGACGGATCGCGCTGGGAGCGGCTGGTTGCCTGCCGCTCAGGGGGCAGCGACAGGCGTGTGGACTCCACGTGGCAAAATCCGTTTCTCACTGTCCCGGTAGCCTTCGCTCGCAACGCTGGCGAGTGGAGGGTCTCCGACCTCTGCCTGCAGCCGGCCACATGGCCGTCGGTCCGGGAGCGCAGCCGGGGGATCTTTGGCCCGCCGTGGCAGAGGTCGCAGCAGTCTGTGCCACGACGTGGGATTGGCTGGACACCATTCCTTTAGGCTGCACCTCGCCTCGTCAGGTCGGCAGGCGAGGGGAGGTCCCCGGTCGCAACGCGCGGTCATTCGGTAGTGCCGGGGCGGCTGGCGTCCGCCGCTCGCGGGGAAGCGGCGCCTTCTGGATCGCCGGGGGCGGGGGGCGGCCTCAACGCCTCCATCCCAGGACGCCGCCGCCCGCCACTCCGGCGGGCGGAAAAGGCCCTCGGCTGCCCCCTGCTTCCAGGCGGTCGCGATCAAGTCTTATCAGCGGTACAGCCGGGGGCGTGTAAATATTAGCTATGTTTCGGTGGGACCCTCCCGAAGGGCACCACCTTTAAGTGGTAGCGGGATCGAATGCTTCTCACTTGCCTAAGGTCGACGGGGTAGCCAGATGAAGTGCTGAAATGCGTGTGCATCTGCTATATGCTGTTTGGTGCTATTGTTCGTACGTTCGCAGCGTCCTTAATGCGATTGTTCACGTTGATGATCCATATCGTAAACAAAAAAATAGGACGACTTTGGTGCATGAGAATATACGCGCCTATACGAGTATCCGGCTTGCGATGTCCCCACCTCTTCAGACACCTCACCGTGCTGAGAGGGATTGAGCGTTCTCCAGAGACGTCCGGGGTACCGAGGAGCTAGGCACGAAACTTGAAACACTTGAAAAACCCCAACAATCAATGTTACAGCATACTGTGACAGGAATTTCCTGGGGCTATCTGGTTGCGTGAAGAAATTCCTTCTATCTGTGTTGGCTGTCGCGCTATACCCCGGCACTCTTGACCACTATTTGATGACTTCCTGGTTATGAAATTTCAACTTTGATCAGCTGTGTCTCTGTAACTGTATAAGTGATCCAATTCTGTATATGGAATACGGTATGGAGTTACAGGCCGCATGAATGTTTTAAAAAGCTCTTCAGACACCTTACCGTGCTGAGAGGGATTGAGCGTTCTCCAGAGACGTCCGGGGTACTGAGGAGCTAGGCACGAAACTTGAAACACTTGAAAACCCCAACAATCAATGTTACAGCATACTGTGACAGGAATTTCCTGGGGCTATCTGGTTGCGTGAAGAAATTCCTTCTATCTGTGTTGGCTGTCGCGCTATACCCCGGCACTCTTGACCACCATTTGATGACTTCCTGGTTATGAAATTTCAACTTTGATCAGCTGTGTCTCTGTAACTGTATAAGTGATCCAATTCTGTATATGGAATACGGTATGGAGTTACAGGCCGCATGAATGTTTTTAAAAAGCTCTTCAGACACCTTACCGTGCTGAGAGGGATTGAGCGTTCTCCAGAGACGTCCGGGGTACTGAGGAGCTAGGCACGAAACTTGAAACACTTGAAAAACCCCAACAATCAATGTTACAGCATACTGTGACAGGAATTTCCTGGGGCTATCTGGTTGCGTGAAGAAATTCCTTCTATCTGTGTTGGCTGTCGCGCTATACCCCGGCACTCTTGACCACCATTTGATGACTTCCTGGTTATGAAATTTCAACTTTGATCAGCTGTGTCTCTGTAACTGTATAAGTGATCCAATTCTGTATATGGAATACGGTATGGAGTTACAGGCCGCATGAATGTTTTTAAAAAGCTGCCAAGTACTGGATAATTACCAATAACAAGGGGCATGATTTTTTATACCCAGTAAGGCTCTAGAATATTCGTCTCTCATGAAAATCGCTGGTTGGTAAGTCTCAGAATTACAAGTTCTATCATCCACTTATGCTTTGTGTTCCAAAAATACCGAGTCTCACGAGTTTAACCTTCCCTAAAGTTCCACGTGTACCACGATAAAAATATCAACATGCCTCGATCTCGTTTAAAATCCAGGCGGCGGGTTTCGTTACCTACTTGGAGCCGGGAATCGGATTTCTGTTTACCATGGCTCTAGAGTTAGAGGTTCCCAATCCAAAACGCCCTTAATTGAATCCACCCGATCGGGCCGTGAAAACAGGCGGAAATTTTTGGCACGCAGAAGAGTGAACGTAACTTGTGAATCTATTAATCCAACATGGGAATTCTTTTTCGAAGAGCATCACGACCGTTGAATAAATACCTATGTATGTCAGTCATCACAAAGTGTAATATTACAACACACAATATCATAATGTATACAAAATACAATATTTCAAAATTTTCAATTTTTTTAAAATTTGACCTGAAAGCCTAACCTAGACATTCGGGGACCGCCAGGAAGAGGACGATGGCACACGCCCTTCCCAGACGTACATTAATCAGGGTATTCACCTATGAATCTCTAAGATAAGACGTGCAGACGAGGCTTGTTCGCCAGTCTTCACGAACATCAAGCCTTCTTCGTACAGACAGTGAGAAGACCGCTCGGGCAAATGTATGTGACAAGCGAGCCGGGTGCGCGCTGCTCAGCAGTGCGTATGACTACATACGCCACGACCCTTCAGAGCGCCCTATTTGAGGAATGTTCAAAAAACACCGTAGTGATGTAACGGAACTAGTTATTTATGACAGGGCCGTGTTACGGCAGCACCTTGCAGACAAGCACATCGATTCTAATCATTGGCGGGCGCAGCTTGCGCCGTCAACACTCTGTAACGGCACCACGCGTATTCCCCTCAGTTGCGCACCAGCGAACCCTCGCCGCGCACTCTCATTGTTGCGGATAGGAGTGAGCTCGCAATTCACCTTGGGGCGGGGGGCTGTCACTGGGAAGCACGGTTGTTGCGGCTTGAACCAGTGCGTCACATGGACCATGTGGTACTCGCACTCCAGTGAGCTCGAATTACTTTTGGACTATGGTGGGAGTGAAGAGTTCAATTCACAAAAG